CCCTACCGTCTTGATCGCATGCATCATTTTGTAAACCTCGACCATGTCACCCCTCAGTCGTCGTTTCTCCAAGCTAAAGGGCCCTAACCTTGTTTAACCTTCTTTCACAGGGAAAGTGTTCCATCCCCTTCACCATTTTAGTTGCCCTTTTTTCTGCACTTTTTCCAGGGCTCACTGGGGTGACCTTGGGCCCACCCCAAACTCTCAGCCTGGCCGAGCTCACAAAGTTGTGATTGTGAGAAAAAGGAGGAGGGGAGAACGGTGTCCTAAGCAGTCTGAGTCCCAGCTACGGGGAGAAAGACAGGATATAAACAAGCAAGTGCAAATGCAATGACAAATGAGGACACCAATTGTCCATTCTAGGATAAAACCAGATCCTTTGGCTCCATCAGATGGAAAGGAAGGTCTACAGGACCACCTTAATTAGTTAACACTCAGGATTCCCTGCCGCAGGAAGTGGTGGCGGCTACGAGCACAGACAGCTTCAAGAGGGGATTGGAGAAACATCTGGAGCAGAGGTCCATCAGTGGCTCTTAGCCACAAAGTATAGAGCAGTGGTGGCAAACCTATGGCACGCGTGCCAGAGGTGGCACTCAGAGCCCTCTCAGTGGGCACGCATGCCATTGCTCCAGCCAGGCCCAGACCGTCATTAAAGTGTGGAATTCTCTGCCAAATAATTGTAAGTAAATGAAAGCATTTAGGATTGCTTTTTCTTACTTTGTTTGGATCATCTTATGTTAATGTATGAGTTGTTTTTTCTAAACGAAAACCTCAGTATTCAGGTTAAATTGCCGTGTTGACACTTTGCGATAAATAAGTGGGTTTTGGGTTGCAGTTTGGGCACTCAGTCTCTAAAAGGTTCGCCATCACTGGTATAGAGGGAACACTCTGTCTGGGGCAGGGATCCACTATCTTCTTGGTGCTTGGGGGGGCAAGAGTGGGAGGACTTCTGGAGCTCTGGCCCCACTGGTGGGCCTCCTAAGGGGCACCTGGGTTTTGGCCCCTGTGTGACACAGAGTGTTGGACTGGATGCGCCATTGGCCCGATCCAGCATGGCTTCTCTTATGCTCTCTTATGTTTACCTTGTGCCTGTTGGTTGCTGCAGATCAGTAGAGACAGGATGCTGGACTAGATGGACCACTGGTCTGATCCAGCAGGGCTCTTCATAGCAAAATTTCAAATTTAATTCATTAGCAAATTGGGAATTTTACGGTGTTGATACTTATATGATGTTAATCCAACAGAGTACTACTTTGGACTTTCAGGGAATTAACCAATTAAGTAATGGCAGCATAAAATGGCTTGACTGCTTACAATTTAGGAGCTTCTTGAATAAGAGTATGCATAAAGGTTTAGGAAAATAGAAAATAACTAAATTCGAAGAAACTATAAGCAAGAAACAACAGCAATCAATCTTTAAAATCTGTGAAGTTCCATGTAAAAAGGTTAGTAACTCAAAACAACCATTTCAATCTAAATTGCAAGATTTGAAATATGAACTTATGGAGGGAAAATGGAAATTTATTTTTACACAGTTTATATTTTTCTATTTCTCCTAAATTTAAAGAAAATTTAATAAAAATATTAATGGCCCTTGACACCACCCGAAATTAGTGTTCCCTCTAAGCTGAGTTAGTGTGAGCTAGCTCACAGTTTTTTTAGCCTCCGGCTCACACATTTTTCTCTTAGCTCAGGAAGGATAGCTCCAGAGCAAACTAATTTATGCAGTAGTCAAATCACTGCTCATAGCTTTAATGCCAGTAGCTCACAAAGTGGAATTTTTGCTCACAAGACTCTACAGCTTAGAGGGAACATTGTGGCCGAAATAGCAAAAAATTATTAAAGATCACATATCACATGATGGTATTGCAAATTACAAAAGCATGCATATACAGTGGACATGAAGACATGCAAAAAAGTACTTTATGTGGGCAATATGAAATGTGGATGAGATATGGATTTTCCTTATTCTCCTGAGATTATTTTGCTAAACTAAGTAGGTAACTATGTTTCCAAAAGAATTTCAAAACATGATTTATGATAACAGCAGCTGGAATTACTTTGGCAAGATATTGGAAGCCAGATACTATTCTGCCAGTGGACGAATGAATTATGAAATGTTAAGAAACCTTTTTTGGCACTCAAACAAACATTCTTAAAACGAGGCAAGGATGAATCTCAACGGAACATAATTTGGCAAACATTCCTTTCAAGAGTTGCTCAATAGATGTAAGTAAGTGAAGTACAAAGGTTTCCTTGGGCTGCTATCTCAAACAGTCTTGTGAATTTATTATACAATCTTAATCAGGTTAAATAAAGCAAAAGAAATAAATTAAGAGCGACATTTGGCTGTAGGGCCCCTGCTCTAACCACTCCACCATGCTGTCTGTCACCGTGTTTTTAAAAATCCAGTAAGTATTCTTCATTAGCATTTTAAATTTATTATTAATATAGTATTAATAATAAACATGACAATCCCCCCCTTCAAGTGTATAACCAGTATCCCAAACGGAATGGGGTCAATCTGATAGCAGTCAGACTAGGACTGGGGGAGTCAGGTTGCCAACTCTGGGTTGGGGAATTCCTGGAGATTTGGGGGTGGAGTAAGGGAAGAGTGGAGTTGAGGGAGGAGAGGGACATCAGGGTATAGTGCCATAGAGCCCACCCTCCTAAGCAGCCATTTCCTCCAGGGGAACTGATCTCTGTGACACAGAGACCAGTTGTAAACTCTACAGATTTCCAAGCCCCACCTGGACACTGGCAACTTGGCAACCCCTATCAGAGATCCGGGTTCAAATCCCCACTCTGCCACAAAGTTTCTTAAGTGACTTTGGGCCTCTCAGCCTGGCCTACCTCACATGGGTGTTGTTAGGGTTGCCAGGTTCTCCCTGGCCGCCAGCGGGGGATGGGGGGGGGTTGCCAGATCCAGGCTGGGAAACTCCTGGAGATGTGGGGCTGGAGCCTGGGGAGGACAGGGGCCTCAGTGGGGTCCTAAGCAGCCATTTCCTCCAGGGCTGCTGATCTCTGTGGTCTGGAGATGAGCTGTAATTCCGGGGGATCCCCAGGTCCCCCCTGGAGGCTGGCATCCCTAATTTGTTGCGCGTACTCCGTGGAGAAGGGGGAGAGTCATACGCGCCACCCTGAGCTCCTTGAAGGACGCAACTGTCATCATCAAGAGGCAAACATGAACTAATAATATCATATATTAGGTATATATCCCGTTTCTCGCTCCCCGCCTCACCTGGACCGCCACTCCCAGAGGGCCGCCTCTGAAGGACACGAATCCCGCCCTCCCCACGGTCACGGCGGCCGCCATTTTGCGTCTTCTGACAGCTGATTCCGGAAGAAGAGGAGACAAGAAGAGGCGAAAAGCCGGCTTGGACGCCGGGGATGGACAGGCGGCCTCAATGACGTCCTCAGAAGGGGAGGGACTCGGAGGACGCCATATTAGGAGTGGCCGTTTTTTAAAAAAAGAAAAGGCCACGCCTTCCGCCATGTTGGAAGTGGCAACCTCCGCTGCCCGATAAGCTATGAAGAGACTGGAGCGGTCCGCCATGTTGGGTGAGCGGCAAGCCGATCGCCGTTTGGGTGGCGTCCTATGGAAAAACGGGGGGGGGGGAGGCGGGAATAAGTTAAGCGGACAGCCATGTTGAGAGTGGCAGAGGAGCATCATTTGTCTCCTATGAGCCGCCGTTGTTGTCACTCTATCAAAGAGACCCTAGCCGACTCTTCGAAAAATAATCCAGAGGATAAGTGTGCAGTCGAAAGAGCCATTTCTCTAGGGCTCCTTTATGGCTATTACGACCTAGAGGGTCAGTTATTTCGACTACTCGCCAATCTTCCGGGTTGAGGAGTTTTTATTATTCAATTGCCCTGCCCTGCCAATGTTTCCTGTCTGTGTGAAGGGCATAAAGCTCCCGAATTAAATAAACATTTCTCTCTCCCTCCCTCCCTCCCTTGTTTTATATTTCATTTGTACTCCACATAGGGTTGCCAGCCTCCAGGTGGAGCCTGGAGATCTCCCGCTTTTACAACTGATATCCAGCTGACAGAGATCAGCTCCCCTGGAGAAAACGGCTGCTTTGAAGGGTGGACTCTTGTGGCACTGGGCCATGCTGAGACCCTCCCCTCCCCAAACCCCGCCCTCTCCCAGACCCATCCCCAACGTCTCCAGGTATTTTCCAACCTGGCAACCCTGACTCCACCCCAATGGGGGAGCATCAGTCTCCTCTCCTCCATTTTATCCTCACAACAACTCTGTCAGGTAGGTTAGGTTGAGGGAGCATGACTGGCCCAAGGTCATCCAGCCAGCTTCCATGGCATGAGTGGGGATTCGAACCTGGTGTAGTGGTTAAGTGCACGGACTCTAATCTGGGAGAACCGGGTTTGATTTCCCACTCCTCCACATACAGCTGGTGGTGTGACCTGGGGTCAGTCACAAGTCCTTTCAGAGCTGTTTTCGCACAAGCAGTTCTTGAAGGAGCTCTCTCAGCCCCACATAACTCACAGGGTGTCTGTTCTGGGCAGGGGAAGGGAAAGGAGATTGTAAGCCGCTCTGACACTCCTTTGGGTGGTGAAGAGCGGGGTGTAAATCCAATCTCCTCCTCCTCCCTCCATTAATGATCCCATGTCTCAGAGCTCAGGTTTGATTGAATCATCCTTGATGCAGAAGAATAAGCCACCGTCAGGGCAACTGGCTGTTGCGTCTCTGTATGCCCCCCTGCGCTAAGCATTGGCCCCTTCCACTTGGTGGGCATTCTCAGACATCCATCTCAGCGGACACATGGGGAGTGGGAACTTTCAGGGAAGGATAATCCTTACTCTTATTTTACACTATAAAAGAAAGCTTCATGGAGCAAACAAAGCCAAGTGAAAATCTAGTGTGGGCTTTTAAAAGTTCCTGCTTTAATATGAGATCCATTGGCTCTCTAGTTTCATGAGACACTTCGTCTAAAAATCTTCGACAGTTTCTTGTCCAATAACTTCAACATCTTGCCAGATAAAAGCTGCAGTTTGGGGCTCTGAGGGATCTCCTGGCAGTGCAAAGAAAAATCCGCTCCCTGCTTGACTCTTAATTTGTCAGTCAGTCGAATCAAGTTTATTGCATTAGCTCACAGCCACGGCAAACAACATTAAGAAAAACAGTGAAACACAGCAAAAAACGATCACAATACATGTTAGAACCCATAAAATATCCTTTTAAAAGATCTAAAAATATACAATAAGCAAACATGAATCTTAGTAACAGAGGGCAAGATTTAAAAACGAACTACTGATCCTATAATAGCACAGAGAGACCCAATGTGAGCAAGATAACTATCCGTCGAGCACACTGAAGTCAGTGGGGAACAAGATGGCAGACGGCAGGTGCCCAGACTTGGAGCTCCCGTTTCAAGAATAATTTATCTTACAACAATGGATTAATGGGGAATGAAGTATTAAATAAAAGATAAATGTTAGAGGAGAGAAGAAGAGGAGATTGGATTTATATCCCGCCCTTCACTACCCAAAGGACTCTCAGAGTGGCTTACAAACTCCTTTTCCCTTCCCCTCCCCACAACAGACACCCTGTGAGGTAGGTGGGGCTGAGAGAGCTCTGACAGAAACTGCTCTTTTTCAAGAACAGCTCTTATCAGGACTATGGCTTGCCCAAGGTCATCCAGCCAGGTGCAAGCGGAGGAGTGGGGAATCAAACCCGGTTCTCCCAGATTAGAAGAAGAGGAAGAGAAGAGATTGGATTTATACCCCGCCCTTCACTACCCAAAGGTGTCTCAGAGCGGCTTACAAACTCCTTTCCCTTCCCCTCCCCACAACAGACATCCTGTGAGGTAGGTGGGGCTGAGAGAGCTCTTGACAGAAACTGCTCTTTTTCAAGACCAGCTCTTATCAGAGCTATGTCTTGCCCAAGGTCATCCAGCCAGGTGCAAGTAAAGCACTTAACCACTACACCTAACTGGCTTGGGAGATGCCCAAGCTGAAAAGCAACTCTGTCTTATGTTTCCCTGGAAAGACTGGTGAAGTACAAAGCTACTCTGGCATGAGTAATTGAGAATAACTGAAAGCAACCGTCAGCTCAGCAGTATAAAATAAGATTCCTAGACTGTTTCTTCTTCTTCTGGTATTGTTTTGTATTTTTCTTAATATGTGCATGTGTGCATGTGAGTGTGTGCATACCTGGAAGTCATGGCAGCCTCTGGTGATTGACCTCTTCTGGGAACCTGGAGGATATTCAGAGAGGTGGCTGAATAAAGCCTGCCCCCATCTCCCGCCTCTGGTATTCCAAGGAGGTCTCCCATCCAAAGTACTTGCCAGAGTTGACCCTGCTTAACTTCCAAGATATGACGGGATTGGGCTTGTCTGGGCTATCCAGGTTAGGGCCCTAGACTGTTTCTTCTAGAGCAGGGACTTTTGTGCAGACTGATTTGTCAGGGTTTCGCCAACTCATTATTTACCTGGTTTAAGGAAGCGAGCAGTCAGGACCTCTGTGCCTCTGTGCAGAAAGCATTATCAGGGTTCTGCTTGCTCTTTATGAGTTTCCAAGTCACTTCTTAGAGGAGTTTTTTTAGAATTGCAGCCCACATATATTTGATTACCTGAACCCTGCTATACTTGAACGCTGTTTAACAGCAAAGAAGAAGAAACAACTGTATATCGAATTAAGTGCAAGATAAGAATTCATCAACAAGTTGCTTAATAACTGGTATGTTTCTGTTTAAATAGTCTCTGACGTGACTCACAAACGGAATAAAAGATCCAGGCCAGTTAATGAGCCTTTTAGTAGAAGCCCTCCCCCTTTAGGGCAATCTAAGATGTATGTTGCTGTAGGTAATTATCTGTCAGATAAGACAGATAAGTTAACAGGGTGCCTTGGACCTTTTACAACTTTTAATCACTTCACGCCTCTAGATGAGGAAGACATTTCGGATCCCCCTTGTGGAGGTATTGGTGACTTATCTCTATCAGAGGAACTTCAAATTAACAACAGTGTCCAAAATATTTTTCCTGTTCCATCTCGGTGTGCCACGGAACAAACTATGTTTGATTTGGATTTTATGGTCATACCGTGTCTCCCGATTAGTAAATTGGCTGCAAAGTTATCTGAGAGTCAGAGATTAATGCAACTATGGATGTGATTACATGCAGGATTGCCTACAAAGTTTTCTCACAACCTACTTAGAACAGAATCTACAGCAAAAGTATACTTTAGACAATACTGTTATTTGCCCAGGGGGTATCACTGGATTGAGCCAGTTTGGTGTAGTGATTAAGTGCGCAGACTCTAATCTGGGAGAACCGGGTTTGATTCCCCACTCCTCCACTTGCACCTGGCTGGATGACCTTGGGCAAGCCGTAGTTCTGACCAGAAGAGCTGTCCTTGAAAGGGCAGTCCCCGAAAGAGCTCTCTCAGCCCCGCCTACCTCACAGGGTGTCTGTTGTGGGGAGGGGAAGGAAAAGAAGTTTGTAAGCCGCTCTGAGACTCCTTTGGGTAGTGAAGGACGGGGTATAAATCCAATCTTTTCTTCTTCTCTTCTTCTTCATGACTAGGATTAAAGAAAAGCAAATTATTGCTGAGGACTTTGTTGCAAACGCCTCGAAAACCCAACCCACCAATAAAGGTGGAGGCAGGTACCTAATCAAGAATTCCTTGGCTTTTTTAGTATTTCCATTGCCTGGTGGTCATACTCCTGGATGGAATTCAAAACTACAACTTGGAAGGGTTGCCAGTTAGACTTCGTGACATCATCAGTGTTAATATGCTACCATCTTCAAGGCCAAATATAAGATGTGTTGTTACCTTTGTTACAACAGATCTCCCTTCAATTATTCTGGAACGTAAGAGTTCATTACTAAGATATAATGTGTGGGTTACACATGTCTTCAGTCCTGGAACCATAACCCCTTTGTTGAGTGTAATGAGTAATAAAATCATAGATAAACAGGTAAATAGCAAGGGAAATCATAATAAGATTCCATCAAATATGGACACAGAGGATAGGATGCAATACCAAATTGATGAGAAATCTGGGGAAGAGCCTAGTAGTGAGTTAATGACGAACATGGACACTGGTACCAGAGCTTGCAAAAGCCAGATGCCAACTTTGCTGCCACATACACCCAGACAACACAGTCACTGGACCTAACAACACCAACTACACCATATCTGGCTTATTCACTTGCTCATATTCTAATGTTGCATATGGCATTAAATGCCAACAGTGCCCTTCAGTTCTCTATATAGGACAAATAGGTCAAACCCCGTGCCAAAGGACAAATGGACACATATCTGACATCAAGAATCACAAAACTGAGAAACCCATAGGAGAACGTTTCAACCTCCCAGGGCACTCAATGGAGGACCTCAAAGTCACTGCTTTATTGCAAAAGAATTTCCAAAACAGACTGGAATGACTGATTGCTGAATTACAAGTTATTACAACACTCCGGACAATGGAACCCCCAGGGCTTAACGGAGATATCAGCTCCTTATCTCACTACACACGCTAAGCCACTTCTCTCCACCTACCTTCTCCTTAATCATCTTGCATGCCCTCTTCTGGTCCTCTTTACCAAGTCTGTAGTACCTTTTTTGAGCTATAGTGACGGTAACCAGCTGGAGTGGTCAGATATATGCCAGTATTCTAAATACTGTAAAATGTGGCTAAAATAATTTTTTTAATCACATTTACATCCTATGCTCTCCAAAGAAAGAGCTCACAATGTGTCTTGCATGAGAAAAGAATAAAACCACAATATCAAGGTCTTACAAGCACACAGTGGCTATTCTGACTGCTTGATCAATGGATGGAAGCCCCGTTATCTTACTCCATTTGCAGGTGTGATTGGCAGGTTCCTAGTCGAGTGTGAAAGACAGCTAGAGAACTCTCTCCTGCTAATGCTGTAATTCACTGGCAGAGGGGAAAAACCACCAATATGCAACTGTTCTACATGAATCCACATTAGTACAATAACACTAGATTCACAAGAAGCCTCTGGCTTCAGTCTCAGCATCTAGACAGCTTCTCTGCTGTGTGAGCACTTAGATGGGAAATTTTCCCTCTAGTGTGACTTCTTTGGTGACGAGTAAACCTTGCGCTGGGACTGAAACTTTTACCACACTCCAAACATTTTTACAGTTTCTCCTCTGTGTGAATCCTCTTGCATTGATAAAAGCTCTTGCTACAATATGAGCATTTAAATGGCTTCTCCCCAGAGTGAACCCGACAATGTGAAGTAAGCTCATCTTCCCACACTTCAAGCATTTATAGGGCTTCTCCCTAAACCACTGATGTTTAGTAAGGTCTGCTTTAGTAGAAAAGTTCTTGCTACAATCTGAACATTTAAATGGTTTCCACACCGTGTGAATGACATGAAGTAAGTAAGGCTTACTCTCCACACTTTCCACACTCCAAGCGTTTTTACAGTTTCTCCCCTGCGTGAATCCTCTTATGTTTATTAAGGCTTGATTGATAAGAAAAGCTCTTGCTACAATCTGAGCAATTAAATGACTTCTCACCAATGTGAACCTGTTGGTGAGAAATAAGGTGGCCACTCCGTCTGAAGCTCTTCCCACACTCCAAGCATTTATAGGGCTTCTCCCCAGTATGAACCCTCTGATGTTTAGTAAGTTCTGATGTATCAGAAAAGCTCTTGCTACAATCTGAGCATTGAAATGGCTTCTCCCCAGTGTGAATGAGCTGATGTGAAGTAAGGTGGCATCTCTGTCTGAAGCTCTTCCCACACTCCGAACACTTATAGCGCTTCTCTCCTGTGTGAATCTGTTGATGGTTAGTGAGGTTGCTCCTCTGAGAGAACTTCTTTCCACACTGTGAGCATTTATATGGCTTCTCCCCTGTGTGAATTCTCTGATGTTTAGTGAAGTCGCCACTGTGAGAGACAGTCTTTCCACACTCCAAGCATTTATACGGCTTCTCCCCTGTATGAATCCTCTGATGTAAAGTAAGGCTACACTTCCAGCTGAAGCTGTTTCCACACTCCAAACATTTATATGGCTTGTCTGCTATGTGAACTTTCTGATGCATAGCAAGGTTGTCCTTCCGACTGAAGCTCTTTCCACACTCCGGGCATTTGTACGGCTTCTCTCCTGTGTGAATCCTTTGATGGTCAGTGAAATGGCTACTGTGATAGAAGGTCCTTCCACATTCCAAGCATTTATAGGGCTTCTCCCCTGTGTGAATCCTTTGATGTAGAGTAAGGGTATCCTTCCGTCTAAAGCTCTTCCCACACACCAAGCAGCCATATGTTTTCTTGCTTGTTTGGATCTTCTGATCTTTCTTAACACTGGATACAGAGGTGAACCTTACCCCTTTCAGGGAGTGCTTATTCCTTCCATTTTCTTTTTGTATTTTGCCTTGGGCTGGGATCGCAAATGCGTTTCTGCCCTGACAGGCAACCAATTCCTTCCTCTGCTTCTGTTTTCCTTCCCTTTTTCTTTTCAGCGGCCTCGGAGGTCCATCTCGATCCCAAGGGTCCACCTCCAGATCCTCGTCTCTTTCTGAAGACACCTCTCCCGGTTGCTCCTGTCCCTCAGTCTCTGATATATCTCCTACTGGAAAGGAGAGAGAGAAATCAAGTAAGAGCTCCAGGATAGGAAGGCCAATTAGCACTGCCTGTCATTACCAAGTGGTACTTTCCCAAAAGAGAACTGGAGGCCTCGAAAAGCTTCTGTATAACTACAAGGACATGAGAGGAAGAGGAAGAAGAGGAAGAAGAGGAGGAGGAGGAGGAGGAGGAGGAGGAGATTGGATTTATACCCCGCCCTTCACCTGGAGTCTCAGAGTGGCTTACAGTCTCCTTTCCCTTCCCCACCCCACAACAGACACCCTGTGAGGTAGGTGGGGCTGAGAGAGCTCTTTCGAGGACTGCCCTTTCAAGGACAGCTCTTGTCAGAACTATGGCTTGCCCAAGGTCATCCAGCCAGGTGCAAGTGGAGGAGTGAAAAGCCACCCCAAAAACCAGTAGGCCAACGAGCATCATCAATTCTACATCGCATATCTCAACTTTTTTGCTCCTGCAGTGACAGAAACATGAGGAATGGTGGTAGGGAGAGCAGGGCTTGGAGAATCACATGAAAAAAATACTTTCATACTTTAATGAAAGCAGAACCAGAAAGACATACATCTATCTATATGAAATTTGAAAGATTAAATACAATTTTTGAGATTCTCAAAAAGGCGCGTGCAGAAAGTGCAACCCACATCTGAGAGATTCATGGGCATTTCAGGTGTGGCTATCTTATATGGGCCCAAATAGGTGAAATTCATATAACTCTCTCAAAACCATCTAATTTGTCTTCTTTGAATCCATGGTCTAAGCATTCTGAGTTAACTTTCTCAATAATGTGATCTTTCCGTTCCTCGTATGGTAAGATTTATTGACGGGGATACAGCCGTCTTTTTCATGCTGTACCTTTTCATACCTTTTTCACGACTGTTAACAGTGAGAACTCTGCAAACAGAGTGAGTCTGTGTTTTGCACAGACTGTCAGGCCTGCTTTCGTTCCATCATCTATACCATTAACTGTTGCCACAAGAGGAATACCCAGAACAGGAGAGATCCATCCTGGGTGAAATAAAACAGGCTGAGAGATCATCAAAGGAGGAAGGAACCACACCTGCAACTGCTGTTCCTTGGAGCAGCTGCGCATTTGATGTCATGCCTCACTGGGCCCGGATTTGGCTACCCTTCAAAGGGATCACACACCCAAGAGAAGAGCCACAATGAGAACAGCACACCTTTTACATGGAGTGGGTGAAATAAAACAGGCTGAGAGATCATCAAAGGAGGAAGGAACCACACCTGCAACTGCTGTTCCTTGGAGCAGCTGCGCATTTGATGTCATGCCTCACTGGGCCCGCATTTGGCTACCCTTCCAGAGATCACACCCAAGAGAAGTGCCACAATGAGAACAGCTCACCTTTTACATGGATGATGTTCTTGGGTAGACAAAATGGGAATGTGTGGAACTCCCACAGAAAAAAAATCCTGCAGAATGAACCAAAACCTCTGTTTTACTGCACTGTTCTCTCTCCCTTACCTGACGAGGGGACACCTGCACACCCTCCTGATGCCTCACACATCTGGAGGAACCTCATTTCCCTTGGATGGTGTTGTGCGTCAAGAAATGGTCCAGGAACCCAAAGTCCTTCCAGGGGAACAGAAAACATCATGATGGCATTTAGACACTCCAAGTACCGGTATGTTTATGGTATCAAGAATACATCCAGACTTTTGGAAGGGGCACTGAAACTTAAAAGATCATCATCTGAAAATGAGCAAAGGCTGGAAGCAAACACAATGTGGCATTATTGGGAAGAAACTACCAGACACGTAGGTTCTTCAGGAACAAACTCTGAGGTAAATATTAACCATCAACCAGGAGTTGTGGCATGTTACATCCTCAACAATGGCTGCGTAAGGAAAACCTTCTCTCGGATGGGTTTAAAACATATAAACAAAGCACTCCAGTGCAACTAATTAATAACTGACTGAGCACCGTTGTTTGTAATGATGTTGGATGTTTTTATTATGTATTTATGTTTTAATCGTGGCATGGATGTACCTTGCCATTGTGAGCCGCCCCGAGCCCATCCGGGGAGGGCAGGATACAAACATGAAAAATAAATAAATAAACAAAAAATGAGCAAAAGCTGGAAGCAAACGCAATGCACACATTATTAGGAAGATCCTACCAGACACGTAATTTATTCAGGAAAACTCTGAGGTAACTGGGATTACAGTGGAATCCCATAAAGTGGTCTCCTCAGAATCTGACTCAAGTCTACTCAGTGGGGCTTCTCCGGGAAGGTGTTCTTAGGCATCCACTGTGGAACACCTCAGTACACTCGGTTCCCCGATAAGAAACTTCACTCAAGATCTGATATATTGACAGATCTCTAATTCACACGCCTGGTAAACTAACCCCTTTCTCTGCAGTCGGAACTTCCAGCTGGTAATTCTCAACAGACGCACACCCCAAACATGACTGACTCAGCCGCCCCCTATCAGCTCTTAACTGTTACCTCAGATTCAGCTCTTATTGACTGGCTCCCCTCCTCCTCCTCCTCCTGCTCCTCCTCCTCCTTTCTCTACTAGGCCCATCCCCTCATTGGCAAAACACCCCTCCACCACCCCACCATCACCCCCCCCTCTCACGGTCACCGTTTGAAAAACATGAAGCTGGTTGGTGCAGCAGTGGCAACACCAGACACTCGCATCCCCCCCCCCCAATAGTGGCTTTTTCAGGGGTCATTTCCTAGTACAAGAGGTGCAGGAGCTCATTAGCATAACTCATTCGCATAACTTATCTGCATATGCCACGCCCCCTGGCATCACCGGAAGTGTGTCAGAAGGCAACCCCCACCACTCAGGCACCACTGGACTCTTGGATTGCTAGCTATGGGAGGCGGGAACGCACAGATCTCCCTCACAGAGGAGGGAGAGCTTGTACCTGAATAAACCTTGGCCTTAAAGGTGCCACTGGACTGTTTTGGATTGCTATCGGGGGGGGGGGCTCTGCAACTTACCTGCTGCTTCTTGCTCCTTGCAGCCTGGGGCTGCTGGGAGCAGGGGGCGGGGCTTGTTGCATGTGCCCACCCCCTGGGCTCTTTACTGCCGGAGCTTCGCTCCTGTGCACTCCTGCAGGAAATGACCCACAGGCTTTTCCAATCCTCACTGAACTGCAGTCAGAGGTGCCGGGAGGGAGGAAAAACCCCACACCTCCTCTTTCTCCACTGTCGCTGCCACACACACCCCAATTTTACCTCAGACTCTTAGCCCAGTCTGCTGTTCATCTCCTTTCTATTTCTTGACAGCTTTGACCACACACACACTTTATCAAATGTACCTGCCCTCCCCCCCAGGAGCCTTCTGCCTTTTCTTCCTCACACCAGTTACTCACAGGCCAAATAATTGTGCGCTCCTGCAGGAAATGACCCCCAGGCTTTTCCAATCCTCACTGAACTGCAGTCAGAGGAGGCGGGAGGGAAAAAACCCCCACATCTCCTCTTTCTCCACCGTCGCTGCCACACCCCCCCCAATTTTACCTCATACTCTTAGCCCAGTCTGCTGTCCATCTCCTTTCTATTTCTTGACAGCTTTGACCACACACACACCTTATCAAATGTACCTGCCCTCCCCCCCAGGAGCCTTCTGCCTTTTCTTCCTCACACCAGTTACTCACAGGCCAAATAATAGCCCTGGACGGGCCAGTTCTGGCCCCCGGGCTGTATGTTTGACATCCCTGCTGTAAAACTTGCTACTTGGGCTGGGAGAGACTTCCTGTAGAAAGTTACCCATTGCTCCTCCCAGGCCCTCCCTCCATCTATCACACAGGTATTCATGGGTTGATTTACAAGCTTGCCTGGGGCAGTCGGGAGAAAAATATTAATTTCTCCAGGTGGTGGCAAGTGGAAAACTACTAAGGAGACATCTCTTAGGTCAGGCCACCTGGGATCAGAGAAGCACAGGGCTCCATAATTTGAGGGGGTCTGTTGCCCTGTTGCTATGGCCTGGCTTTGTTACAGATACTCCCTCCTCCCTTCTCTTCCGTGTTCATGACAAAAGGGCCAAGATCCTTACCCAGAGAGGCCGCCGTCTCGCAATTCTCCTGCATGACTTCCCAGTACAGAGTTCTCTGGGCACGATCCAGCAGAGCCCATTCCTCCTCTGAGAAGAACACGGCTACCTCCTCGAAGGACATTGGGGGTCCCGAAAGAGGATTTCCCCTGTTCATCTTCTCTGACTGTCCCTGAGTAGTCACACGAATAAGTAGAATCTCACAGGTGAGTCCTTTGAAAGAAAAATACAGACTATCAAACTGATGGCAAGAAAAATGAAATGCATCTTCACAGACTCTGGAGAGGATCCCACCAGTCATATGGAGTCTGGGAAATCAGAGGGGTGCCATCTTGGCACAATGCTCCAAGAAATACGGATTCTGAGAAGCACGCCTAACCAAACTTATCCAGTTTGATTCAAACTTGCACAGAATCCAATCTGAGCAGACAGGGACCGACTGTTCCCCTGCCTACAATAATCTCTTCTAACTGTTCTCTCTATAAATACAAAGAAAGTCCCCGTGTAACAGGGCAGTCTCCCCCGCAGCCTCCCATCATATCTTCAAATTTGCTGCATTTGTGCTGACCCTGCTGGTGCCTGCTGGAGGTCGCTGCCGGCTGTGGGGAGGACACACTTCCGGTGATGTCAGGGGGTGTGGCATATGCTAATGAGTTATGCTAATGAGTCCCCCTAGCTCTTTTTCTACGAAATGACCCCTGCTATAAATACAAAGAAAGTGCCCGTGTAACAGGGCAGTCTCCCCCCCAGCCTCCCATCATATCTTCAAATTCGCTGCATTTGTGCTGATTTTTTTAAAAATCTCTATTTCTGAACACAAATGAAGTGATTTGGCCTCACAGGAACTGAGTTAGAACATGAACAGCAGCCAGCGTAGTGTAGTGGTTAGTGTGTTCAACTGTGATCTGGGAGACCCGGGTTCTGATCCACTCCCTGCCATGGAAGTTCCCTGGGTGACTCTGGGCCTGTCACTCCCTCCGGCTAGCCTACCTCACAGGGTTGTTGTGAGGATAAAATGGAGGAGGGCAGAACACTGTGGTGTGGTGTTTTGGGTCCCCATTGGGGAGAATTGTGGGGAATATCTAGAGAGAACACTCTGTACTCAACACAGTTCAAAGTAATATCCTTTTCAGGGTTTTGGCAGCTGCATGCGGTATATGTAGGTGGCTTGAAAAAGGGAGCATTGGAGAGTTGCCCTTATTAGTTAAGTCTATTAACTCTTTACAACTGGGAATTTTAACGGGGGAAAAGTTTGGAAAAGCCACAGAAAGGAAACAAGATTTCCAGTGCACAAACACGCAGCATCACGTTCAAAAATCTGAGGCTATTCTTATGACTGAAATCCATTGTACAATACGACCCATGGCAAAAATCGCAAAAGAGCTGGTCATTTTGGGCCACAGGAATAGGATCTTCTTAAAGGTAAAGGTCCCCTTGCTCGAAAGCCAGTCGAGTCCGACTCTAGGGTTGCGGTGCTCATCTCCGTTTCAAAGCTGAAGAGCCAGCGCTGTCCGAAGACGTTTCCGTGGTCGTGTGGCCGGCATGACTAAACACCAAGGCGCATGGAACGGAGGATCTTCTTACAGCAACCAAAATGAGGAACACGTTTAGAGTGTTATCAAACAACAGATGCATTTTTGGGAGGTGTTTCAGTTTCCTAGTGAGCAAGTTAAGTTCATTTGAGAAAAGGGAGACCAGAGGTGCCAGTCGTCGCCATGGTGCCTCTCGACATCTTTCCTGGCATGCACCAAGTATTTTTAAAGGGGGGGGGGAGACAGGCACAGGTTGGCTGGGCAGATTAAAATAATGGTTTTTTTCCAGTGGCAACTGCCACCACAGTGTTGGTTTATTTTCTCCCTGACTTGTCTTTTCCCAGTGCATTATTTAAAATTATGCCCCTTTCCCTCAGCCCTTGGGCTTCCCCTTTGTGTGTGGCTGTGCCTCCTGCCCCAGCCATTCTGGGGTCGGCTCCACTTCCTACAGCGGCCATTCTCTGGTTGCGCCCACCACCACCACCCCGCGTCAGAATTCCAAAGGTGCCCACAGGCTCCAAAAGGGCTGGGGACCCCTGGTCTGGAGGGACATCCTGTCACATGAGGCCCGGCCACAGCCAGCAATGCTGCACCCCCAGGCCAGGTTTTTCAGCCCAGGCGGGTTGAGGATTGGGGGCAGGGTTGCCAATTCCTGGAGATGTGGGGGCGGAGCCTGGGGAGGGACCTCAGTGGGGTACAGTTGTAACTGCTGGATTTCAATAGGCCCCACCTGGAGGTTGGCAACAACCCTAACTGGGGGCAGTGTTCCCTCTAAGATGAGTGAGTGTGAGCTAGCTCACAGTTTTTTAGCCTCCGGCTCACACATTATTGTCTTAGCTCAGGAAGGATGGCTCCAGAGCAAACTAACTTATGCAGCAGTCAATTCACCTGCTCACAACTTTAGAATTTCTGCTCACAGAGCTCCGTAGCAGAGATGGGCGGAAGCAGAAGGGGAGGAGGCGGAGTGTGGGGGGGAGGCTGCTTCCACTTAAAGTAAAGGTAAAGGTTCCCTTGCTCGAAAGCCAGTCAAATCCGACTCTAGGGCTGCGGTGCTCATCTCCGTTTCCAAGCTGAAGAGCCAGCGCTGTCCGAAGACGTTTCCGTGGTCATGTGGCCGGCATAACTAAACACCAAGGTGCACGGAACCCTGTTACCTTCCCACCAAAGTGGTACCTATTTATCTCCTTGCAGTGTCTTGCTTTCGAACTGCTAGGTTGGCAGGAGCTGGAACTAGAGACGGGAGCTCACTCCGTCATGCGGCACCCGGGTCTCGAACTGCTGAGCTACCGACCTTCCACAGCCTGCAGTTCAGCGTCTTAACCACTTGAGCCCCCGCAGCTCTTAGCACTTAGCAGGAAGGAAAATAGGGAATGTTCAGCACTGGGAGATTTTCCTCTGGCCGAAGAGCGGCGAGGGAGGGGGCGGGAAACCCCCAAGGCAGGGGCTGAATTGCCACTCCCAGACGTGGTCGGGGTGTAATTTGTGGCCGATGCTTGCTGACTTATCACGGGCAACCAGGAGGGTGAAAAATAACCGCGTGTGGGAAGATCTCTCTCACCACCACCACCACCACCGTGTTACTCATCCGTGTGCCAGGATCTGGCCCTGGAGGAAGCCCCCTCCCCCCGCCGCCCCAGCTCCCTCAATGGAGCTCTCGAAGTCCAGTCACAATTCTTCTCTGCCCCCCCGTCCCTCCCCTTTCTCCCCCCCCCCATCTCTTTAAGGAAGCAGACACGCACCTTCTTTGCTGCAACCGCCCCAAAGCCAAATTCCTCCTCCGCCCTAGGAAAAGA